TTAGTAAATACAGCATATAATTTTACTGTATTCGAAAATCTTTCTATTGTATAAGTATAGTAGAATAGTATAATATTTCTTACGATTCTAAAGTGCTATTTATTTAAAATTTTATCGTATACGTTCTAGAATATTTGAATATTATGCAGAAAGATGTTTCAGTATTCTAATAAGCATTTAATATCTGCAACATCTCTTTGCAATTGATGTTTGGAAAGAAAATACTTCAATAGAAATTTTAGGTGATAATCTATGTTTATAAAGGAGAAATCTAGTCAAAATAATTTTTCCTCTCTATTGCACTTTTTATTTCTAGCTTTATTAAGCGAAAGATTGCAGAAAATAAGTACAAGTTATTAAGCAATAACCTAGATGTTTTATATTTAGAGAACAAGTTAAGTAAAATGAGAGAAAATTTTTTAAAGTAGATAATAACAGAAAGTATTGTAAAAATTAAAACGTACTTTGTAATATGAAAAGACAGATTTCGTTATTAACGCAAAACATTTCTTTTAATACTGCTAGTGATTTTAAATCGGGTCCAGCGGCGGCTAAGCGGTCTTCGTACCCTGAACACTGGGAGTTCGGTCGTGGGTTATTGCCTCGCTCGGACGTGTTGGCCACGTGGTGTTTTCCGGGTTTTCTCCACGCCTGTAACACCTAAATAAGGATCAGTTTCCTTTAAAAATACCTGCTGGAAGGCACCTCTAGGCAGATCGCTCAAGTATTGCATTGCCATAATTAAACAATCAAACAAGATTTTAAATAATTAGGAATCATTATGCAACAAATTGAATTCAACTTTTCAAAATTTATTAGAAATAATGTACAAAGTTTACAAATCTGGCAAATTATACCAGATGAATTTTTCTTTTGAAATCAAAGCCTGTAAACGATGGTGCGACTGAGTGCTGTGAGATGGGGCTTAACATATCCGGAATGGAATACCGCCAACAAATTCCTTGGATTTTCGAACTCGTTCGGATTGGTTCCAGATTCTCTACACCCAATATGGGGTGGTGTAACAGAATTTGAGGGTTGCGTAAACTTTGGTAACTATTCTCGAAGGATGTCAGTTCAATCCGAAATGTTCCACTGTCAAATTCTCTAATATCGGTTGGCAAAAGTAATTACAAAAAATATTTGATTTAAATTACAAATTATTTTATGAATACATAACAGAGAAACAAAGCGTTCGTATATCGTTTCTCGTTATCATCTGCTCTACTCTTCAATTAAATCTACTATTCTATTACTATTAGCCTCGTTTACTGTTTTTAAACATTGGATTGCATTTACTAAAAATTTTTAATAAAATAACTTTTCAATACACCGGAATAGTCTAATGCAGTGTTTCCCAACATTTTTTGTGCTATGCCCCACCTAAGCGTTTCTAAAATTCTTATGCCCCTCTAACATACACAGCGGCTATACGGTTAACTTAAACTCTGGATGAGTCCATTTTCGAATTGCCCTCTCAACAATCGAATTGTCTCCCTGTGAGGCGTGGACCCCACGTTGGCAAACACTGGTCTAATGATTTATTTGAGAATTGGGTTCTTTTTTGACAAAAATCCAAAAGTAGAGAAGTTCCTTTCATTTTGTGTTGGTGTTGGTTTAATGCAGAAATCGCATCAAAATGAAAGGGAAAATATCAAAATTGACTAAACTTCATTATTTCTTATTGTTATCGGTAATTTAAAGTAATAGACGTAACATCCACTGGCAAAAGTTAACTGCTGAGTCCGTTGTAATTTGGTCTTTTTACATCTCGCTGTTCCCATTGTAAGCATCGACGAACTCATTAGATAAAAAATTCTCTGTTAATGCCCATATCATTGACAGTTTAAAAAAGATAACTTAGATGGTATATTTTCTGGAAATAAAAGACATAGACTAATAATGGCTGAATATATAAGATATAATAGCAACAAATTTTTTCAAATGACCATCCACAATTCCAAACATTAATAAACACACATTGCATTTTATAATTGTATATATTTAAGAAAAGGCAATATGAAAAAGCATTTCCTTAAATGTTAAACTGAAATCCTTACGTAAATTTAAGGAAATTTTATAAGAGTTGTGACTGTTGCTGTAAGTATTCGTTTCCCATCTATTAAGATAGACTTTTCTTATTATTTCTAATATTACTTTTAAATATGTACACTACAATATTTAATAATATTTCTTACGCTTCTATTTTATTATGTTTGGACAGAGTTTCAAGAACTTTTCGGTAATGAAATTTCTCTAAATTAATTATATTTTCATAAGGATTCGAAGTCATAATTGGCAACTAGTAATGAATAACTAGTAATGAATATTTTAAATTAGAATAAGATTTATTTAAATTTAACAACGTCTACACAATGATTATTTACATTAGAAAATATTATAATATCTAAAAATTTAAGATATATTTTCAATTCGTGTCTACTTGACCAATGAAATTATGCCATTTTTTACCATCCGAGTATTGCCATAAACATGAAAATACAGTAGTAGAATAAAATAGCCAAACTCTTTATATAGTTTTCGCTTTAATGTTTGTTATACTATAGTGTTTGTTTTATATAACTACGAATATAATCTTATGTAAGTGTTCTTTATTCGTATATTGTACACAATTTAAAAAATTTTTTAAATGTGTTAAATCAGTGCGATAAACCTTTTTAACCCTTAACTGGTTTCGTAAATTTTACAATCATAACTAGTATCATGGGGGCTGCGCAGCCCCCAAGCAAAATTTGCCTTTAGAAAGCAAGTTTAACATTGTGACAGTTCAAAAGTGCATAAATGCTAAATGGAACCCTTCTTCAGTATAATCAACTTTTATTTATTTATATAATTTTCTTCATTTGATTATTACAAGAGATCACAAAATTGTTACAACTTTTGGTGTATGCTTTTTTTAACAATACAAAAATCTACCCTATTGTAAGTTTTTACCAAAGATATTTTTTTTCTTATTCTTAAGAAACTAATCTTATAAAAAAGTATCTCTTATAGCCTCTAACTATCATTTGTTAAAAAACCACAGATAATATAATCACTTCTATTTTTAAGACTCAGGATCATTTTAACGCAATTACGTAGTTCAGTCTTGACAGTTATCACATAGTATTTTTGTAGTACTATGCACTTTGCAAATAAATTTCAAACAACTGTTGCACTTAGTAGCATATTTACCATCTTTTTTTCCAGCACAAAATGACAACATACTCTTTTCAGGAGATTTCGGCTTGATCTAGCAATTTGTATAATATTATC